AGACTCCCGAAATGTATGGAAAAATATTTATACAATATGAATAAATACGTAAGTAAAAAATATACCACACTATAATATAAGATAATATGAAAAAATATAAATAACAAATTATAAGAAAATTAGAGTTTTGACTAACTCAGTACTTGTGGCAACTATGTAGTCACTAACAATATGAAGTAAATTGATAAAACATTCAAAGTTATTGTATCAATAAATATAAATAACATTTTCCTCAGTATGACATGGCTCATCTAACTTTATATCATTTTAATGAAATAAGTGATGAACTGACAAGTCATGATTGCTAATAATGTCGAATGTCGATGGTAAATAAATGATTTATTAATCAAAATATTTAATATATAATAAAAAATGCTGAAAATGGTTTATAGTAAAATAATTTTTGTATTTMATCTTTGTAAATTGTATATGAAAAAAGTCAGTTMTATCTGTTACACCTTGTATATATATATTTCGTAATTAATTTTAAATCATTTAAAGATAAATGCTGTGCTATTAAAGATAAATGCTTTTCTTCGTTTTGTTATAAGTTTAAAGTTTCAGAAATRAGTTTAAATATTAAATAAAACAAWGACATGGAAATAGCAGAGTGAAGAGGCCTCCCAGTGGAGGTACATTATCGTAAAATATTAGTTGTAAGTTATAACTAATAGTATGTTAATAATAAATATATATTATTAATGATAATATATTAAAAAACAATAGTTATGTTAAGATGCTAGTAGTGATCTATAAGATTATAATTTTTAAATTACCCATGTACCCATGTACAGAGTACCCATGTCATTAATCCAAATATAGACTTTTATTCTTGAAGCATTTATAAAGTTTAAAAATTCAGAAACTACTTGTATAAATTTCGATTTTTAATAATTATATKAGTATTTTATATAATAATACAACTAAATAAGAAATTTGACGAATCACACACACTCTCTCTCTATACATATATTGTACTGAATTGATTATCTGCGAACTTAGTTTTAATCTTTTATTTACATTTCATATTTTAGT